TGAAAAATGTGTAATGTCAATATAACATAACATAAAACTGTAATAACTAATATATACTGATGATTCGATTTACAGGTATACAGGCCATCAACATAAAGTAAAAAACAAATGGTTCTTAAATATTATTCCTTAAAGAGATTCTAAAAATAAAGTATATTCAGAAACCATACTTCCTTATAATTGCAAAATATACACCAGCTACTTTCTTTTTTATTAAATACTATCAAATTTATAAAAAATTTTCATTAAATACTGCAATATTAACTTAGAAAATAGTTCTTTGTATTCAACTTCCCGACAAAATACCATTTACTAGTATAGTTGGAATCATAGATTTATTACTAATAAATCTATGGTTGGAATATTAGGTATAGACCAACAATTTATAAGGACCTACAAGGAATTTTGTTTATAGGAGACTCTTCTAGCTTCCTTTCTGTATATTCACACAAAAATTAAAGAAGGTATACTTGTATAATAATGGATATCGAAAATGATATATGATTTTGATATAGCTTCATCAAGTCCAGCGCAAAAATAGCAGTTGTTTTAATTATTTTCAAAATTTTCCAAATTTAACTCAATGGTCTGGATCTACCAGAGAAAGAGAGAGAGTTCACACTTTCTTATAACAGTTTAAAATGATACTAAATGCGTGTATATTTATTTAAACAAAGCAGTGCAATCACCAGTTAAATATAAACTTTTCATTTTATTACCTGCGAACTGTCGTATTTTTATTCATGTATTCCACGTGTAACCTTTCGATGGTAACGTGATTTTTCACTGCTACTTAGATAATTGCATCTCCGATTAGAATCATTTGCCGTTGATATAATTTTGATTCTGTGTATCCGGTTTTTGAAAATAGAATTACCATAGAAACAAGTCCGCTATTGTAAAACTTTAATGATATTATAATAATGCTTGTTTTATCTGACTCAGCGCATAACGATGAGTTTTGACCTAAAATGTTAATCGTGGGAAAGGAATTGGCACTATTGTGCCACAGTCTGTGGCTCGTTATAAAAATTATGAGTTTAAAGAAATTTAATTCGGGCATTAAACTGCTTCGAATAGCTTGATATTAATTGGAAATAAATCTCAACATCAAATTTTGACTGTTTTTGTTGATAGCTCAATTGTTCAGAGACTTGTACATTTACATATTTAATCACATGTGCAAAATTGTCTAATTATGTCTTTATTACACTGAAAACATATTTAAGTGTTTTTATCACTTGCCAAGTTACTGAATTGTTTGACAACTTCAGGCCAGGCAAGTTGTTTTCAGCAAAGAAAACTATGGTTAAAGTATCTCGCCTATTGTCAATATCCTTGGGTCTAAAAAATGTAGGAATAATACATCTGGTCTGCATTGACAATAACAATAGTTTTTTATGATAATTTCTAAGCACTCTACAATCGTTCAAAGATATTCAATAACAATTGAAGATACAGAACAGAGACTTCATACTTGGTACAGTGTTCTCATAGTAGTTAGGTAACTTACGTAAAATTTTGAACAAAATCAAGTCAGCGGTGTCGAAATTAGAAGTTTCAAATGTTTCAACTGTCAGAAAAAATGTTTAACGTCTTTTTTATAAATTTAACTAAAATTTTTTCTTTTTTTCTTTTTTCATAAAATACATGAGTAAAAGCTTATGTGGCAACTGGCGTTCAAGTTGGTATTTATATTTTTCTGAGTGTACTCACCTATGACGTTCCAATCTATCGTTGGAAGTCACTGGTCTATGACGTTTCTGTTCTTGATTTTTACTTGCTTCCTTGTTTTAAATTTGCGATAATTCCTAAGTTTCTGTTGAAAGCATTTGGATATATTTAGTTTTGGTATTACTTTATTTCCTTGATCTTCTCTCTTCAAATATTTGGTTCCATTTGCTCAAAATGATGTAGTTCCTGGTTCAACTATTTTGGTTTAAAAATGGTACGTACGTACGTACCTTAAAGTCAAATAATAAAAGTGTCGTCAACTGTCACTTGAGTCCAAGATAACTGTTCCATTTCCTCTGTCGCCAGAAAGTATGATGATAAAAAAAAAGATATAAAAAACCTAGCCATGACATCTTTAAAACACCATTATCAATTCTCTTAGCAATTGTATCAGTTAATGCTGATTTCTGATCCTGCAGTGGTGATGTTCACGATCCGGCCATGGTTTATGGAGTTTATGGTTCGTTTTTTAAAAGCTGCTCAAGGAAGGCAAAAGTTTTGGTTGAAAATTGTTAATTGAAATTTGTAAATGCATCTCTGAAGTTTAGATTGCTTCTTTGACAGTTAGCTATCGTCACCCATCACCATAGTAGTTCTTAGATACCACTGATTAGCTTTTGCTCGAATTAGACATACACATAGCTACAGTGAGAAAACTGCAGGTGCAGCTGTGGACAGAAAAATGTTTTCATCCTGAACTTTTTATGGTCCTTATAAAATGGGATTTTAGTAGCTGTATTCTGTAAATGCCCTGAATATGTTTTTTGTCTAAATTTTAAATTCGAAGTATATATCTTCACCTACTACTGAATAATTGTTAAAAAAAATTGTGGAGTAAATAGTACTTTTTTTCATGATAAACAGATTATATTAAGTTATTGCTGTTCCGCTCCCTACAGTACGATTTAAAAAAATTGACGACAGTTGTTTTTTTTTAATTTTGCTGGTAACGTTTTGGGTTTCTCCTAACAGATTATCAGTTTATGGAATGTAACCTGAGGGGTTATTTCTTTAATTATCTACCTTTAATTAATTAACTATTTTATTCTCGAAAGGGAGTTTAATATCATTATACTTTAATTCATACGTGGGAACTTAGAAATGTTGTATGTTCAGAAAATGAAAATCCAGGCACTTACCCTTTTTGCTTACGTAGACTGTAATCCTGGCTGGCTGTACANTTAAATAGAATTTTGGTATTACTTTATTTCCTTGATCTTCTCTCGTCAAATATTTGGTTCCATTTGCTCAAAATGATGTAGTTCCTGGTTCAACTATTTTGGTTTAAAAATGGTACGTACTGGAGCCTTAAAGTCAAATAATATAAGTGTCGTCAACTGTCACTTGAGTCCAAGATAACTGTTCCATTTCCTCTGTCGCCAGAAAGTATGATGATAAAAAAAAAGGTATAAAAAACCTAGCCATGACATCTTTAAAACACCATTATCAATTCTCTTAGCAATTCTACCACTTAATGCTCATTCCTGATCCTGCAATCGTGATGTTCACGATCCGGCCATGGTTTATGGAGTTTATGGTTCGTTTTTTAAAAGCTGCGCAAGGAAGGCAAAAGTTTTGGTTGAAAATGGTTAATTAAAATTTGTAAATGCATCTCTGAAGTTGAGATTGCTTCTTTGACAGTTAGCTATCGGCACCCACCACCATAGTAGTTCTTAGATACCATTGATTAGCTTTTGCTCGAATTAGACATACACATAGCTACAGTGAGAAAACTGCAGTTGCAGCTGTGGACAGAAAAATGTTTTCATCCTGAACTTTTTATGGTCCTTATAAAATGGGATTTTATTAGCTGTATTCTGTAAATGCCCTGAATATGTTTTTTGTCTAAATTTTAAATTCGAAGTATATATCTTCACCTACTATTGAATAATTTTTAAAAAAAATTGTGGAGTAAATAGTACTTTTTTTCATGATAAACAGATTATATTAAGTTATTGCTGTTCCACTCCCTACAGTACGATTTAAAAAAATTGACGACAGTTGTTTTTTTTTTAATTTTGCTGGTAACGTTTTGGGTTCCTCTTAACAGATTATCAGTTTATAGAATAATCTTCTATAACTTTCTTATGAGATGATTCCTCTTTCAACAATCAATTTTTTTTTAGTAAGAACTTAGTTACAGGGTTTTAGGTTACAAATGAACTATTTTATGTACTCGTAAATGTATTATTTTCTTATTTTTCATATACACTATTTCGAATAACTTGTTTTCAGTAATAAATCGCAAACAGCCTCATTAGTTATTTTAAGTTTATGTAATAATCTTTACAGTTCTCTGCAGACTAAATAGTATTTGTAGAAAAATCAATATACAGGGTAATTGAATCATAACGCCATTAATTTTAAGGGAAGGTAGAGTGGAATACGAATACGTGATTAAAAAAAATTAAAATGCATATTTAGGCTGAAAAAAAATTGTCAAAGCCCTTTTCGGACCACTCCTGATCGCTGACCTACAAAGGTTTATCGAGAGTGAATGCTGACCTACCGTATGCGGTTACTAACCTGTTTTACTGCGTTTTTAATAAATGAACGACAAAAACAGATCTAGACACATGAATGAGTAAGATACTAGTTTTATATTTTAAACATTAACAAGTATTATTTATTTGTCAATAAAAACAAATGCATATCGATAATAATTGTTTTCGAATGTTGGGTTATTACAATTTAGTATTTTTAATATTGTTAACGTTTTCACTATGTTTTATAATTGAATATGAGATTTTAGTATTATGTTCAATTAACTATTCAGCTTGTAGTACGTATACCTTATTGTGTGACTAATTGCTTTTCAAAGAGTAGCATTGTACCTACTTATTTAAAATGCAACTACGGCTAAAAAAATACTTATTCATCCATAGCACTTTGTTAATAAAGTTGGAATCCACTGCACTTTGATTTTGAAACCAATTGCAAAATTCAAGAGGACTAGGGAAAACAGCTGTTTCGCTTCAGCGTTCGAACTCTATGTAGGCTGCCGGAACGTTCCCTGTTGCGAAGAAAAGCGCTGAGTTAACGGAAGTTAAAGGGTAATTTACTTATTGTTGAAAAGGTCTAGTAAAATTTTTTTCGATTTTCTACCTTTATTAGGCCTTCCGAATGCGTGGTTAAAATTAATGACATTATGACTGAATCACCCTGTATAATGAACCTGTTAAAAGTTTCGCTCTTTTCTCACAAAACAAAATGTCTCTTTTAACATTAGAACCGTAACTATTTTAATACATTTCTTTTATTTTCAGGTACAAATTCACCCTAAGTTCCTTCCGAAATTAAAGTGCTGTGATACACCTAGAACGAATTGACCTGTGATTAAAAACCTTTTACTCTTTTACTCATTAATATAAGAATATGGTACTGTACAAACAATGACGAACAACAATCAAGATACACTCGAGACCGTCTGCGTCGACAGCGGCAGGAACACTGAGCAGTTCGAGAAGCTGCTAGGCAGCAGGTGTCAGACGGCACCGACGCTCCCTGCCCTGCTTCCTGCTGCCCAGATTGGACCCAAGCTGGACAGAAGGCGCAGGTCGGACAACAGTCTCCTTGGTTCGTTTTATAGACTGAAGAGTTCCTTCGGGTCTGGGTCTAGGGAGGGATCTCAAATCAATAGGATCAGCAGGTAAGATTTTTGTCCTGGCGTTGTTTTCAGACTAAATGATAATACGGTCAATTGATGGCAATTCTATAGATAGGTAGAAAATTCGAAAAAGGATATGTGTAGAAAATTCCAGAACCAAATATCCTTTGCTTGCAAGTGTCAAAAATCATTCTTTATTGCATGAACGTCTTGATTAAATCCTAGTCGAAACATTCTACAGTGAAAACTGTATTCATAGCTGAAAAAGACATCGATTTTAAACAACTTTAAACTGTAGAATACCGTAGCGAGATATCAAAAGTGTTCCCCAAAGATAAATATTCAAATTTGTGAACAAAACCTAATATTACATATTTATTGATAATTGGCAATATGTTCTGTAACCTAAGTTGTTATTTCTTTAATTCACAGCCACACAGACAAAAAAAAGTTGGGTATACTTTTTATGCGACATATAATTTTCATAGTAATTTGGCCTCCTGAACACGAATCTGGTGTCAGAATTGGCCCATCACGTCACAATTTTTTCCTAACCTCAAAAAACTTGTGAAAAATAGTGAAAATTGATGAAAATTTACTGGGAAAATTTGGAAAAAAATTTATTTCCACATCAAATAGTACATTTTTATGTAAAAGACTCTGCTGAATTCAAATCCACTGTCAGAATTGAGCTAGAACGTGTGGTTTTTTTTCTGACCTCAAAAAACCGAGCAGGAATCGCTATTTTCAAATTCTGAGCGGATTTTGACCAGATTTTGTATAAAGGTTTTTTTTGGGTCGCTGATTACGAATATGAATTCACATTGTAAAAATTCAAGATGGCTGATCCAATAT